TTAAAAAAAAAAGAGAAAAAGTAAAGCTTTTCCCTCACTGGAATATACGATACCAAGCAAGAAAAGATTTTCTTGTACTCAGCCTGAGTACCAAGTCCGCCCCCTATTCCAGAGACACTAAACACTACCCACTTTTTGAGACCATGCGGCGCCAAGGCCGATTGACCCGACCGGCGAATGGGAGTTTTTCTTCTCCCCTGACCCTCTTTTCCCCAGCAATATCAACTGGAGACGGTGGATAGACGCAAAGCTCCCTGCAGCGACGGTGCCCTGTCCTTGCAGCAAAGCCATGCATCGCCCACCATTTTCTTCAATCTGCCAGGGCAGATGAAGTCGTACAGACAATCAGGTACAGGGAATGGCCGCAATTGAATGTCTAGTTTTCGAGCTGCCCTGAAAAGTAGAGGCATTAACAATACACAAACGACAAATTGTCCACCCGTGATCTCCGAAGATCCAAGTTCGCATAGGCCTCGAGGATCACCAAAGACAGAGAGAAACCGGAAAAGACAAGAAAATCCTCTCTCGAATCATTCGGCGATCCCCCGTCAAACTGGTGGTAGGATAATCTTCGGTGTTATCCGCCCGCCCAGAGAATAAGGATCGCCCAAAATAGATATGATAATCCATGTTCTGATACTACGCCGCTCCAACCTACTGAAAACCTCCATCGAAAAAGAATTCAAACCAAACAGAATGCCGCATAGCCAAGACGAATGAACCAACATTCAGGAACTCCAATTTCCCCAAACCCGTCAACGGCCGAACCGTAATCCGACCTGCAGGAACACATCCAAACGGTGGTTGCAGCTTGAAACAGCCGAACAGCATGGAGGGGCCAGGGGTAAGTTAGTCCGCCTCTTGCTTTGCTTGGTCCGCCCCAAAGGAAAAGAAAAAGCAACCGAGTCTGTGCAGTTGGTGTTTGTTCGTTTGCCAGAAAAGAAGTTACCAAGTACTGGACGAGGGATTCCAATCCTGACTGATGCAGATGCAGATGGCTGGTCGTAGCACGGAGGACTTGCTTATCGTAGTATAGAGAGGATGGACGACCGTGCTTTCGGCAGACTAACTAAACCAACTGTATTTTTAGCTCGGTTTCTGTCTGGTCCATCGTCCTTTCTCCTTGCTGGCCTCACCACCAGCACCACCAGCACCACCACCCTTCATCCTACTGATACGCAAACTTAATGCAACCCCAGCGCTTCTGCGCGCGAAGTGATCAACAACTGACAGTCATGTACGGAGTACACCTTACCTCCCTTCTCATGCGATCTTGTTATCTTGGTTATATTTAGCTGGGCAGAACTGGAATTATTCCGTGCTGTGTCCTACCTACCTATAGAACACTGTGCTACCTGATACTCCTGATGTGCAGTACATCATCGTACCTATCATCTGCTTAGAACCCCAGCCACAAGATTCCCCCCCTCCCCCTCTGTGGCCAGAAACTGCGACGTGACGTCGACAGCAGACGGGTAATTTTCCGCCTCTGCTCAGGGAGCACATTCTCTCCCCAGACCAAGCTTCGTAGCTTTTTTGTCTTTCTCTCTCGACCTCACCCCCAGACTGCCCCCCCCGGGGCAATCCCAATGATCCTCCCGGGCGTTATGTGACAACCACAAAGGAAGCATTTATTATTTCAGCAACCGCTGCAACAATCACTTTTGTCAATGTTAATCGTGTCGAGGTCAATAATGAACAATTATCGTTCCTATTCTCCGTCCATGGCCTGGTTCTTGCTCTCGCGCCGGGCGCAGTCTGGATAGACCTGAATCCATTGGAACAGGATTCTTTCTTTCCAATCCACCCTTTGCCGGCGTCCCCTAGCGGTTGAGGGACCCATTCCCCTGACACTTTCTGGAAGAAGCCAAGGCTAATGCGACAAGAGGGGGGAAGAACCGGAGAATTATGGTCGGGGGATGAGCCACTGCGTTGCTTGATTTGGGGAGAAGATAACGAGCAACTTTATCGCTGGGCGCCCGGGGGAAGCAGGTTCGCTCTGTGATCACCACGCTATCGAAAATGGGGGAGGGGGCGTTTCATGTGTTCTATATATGGGAGCAACCAACGTCAGTTTTCTGAAACGCGAACATATTCTGACAAATCTCTGCACATTATCGAACGCCACCGGTTGCAACTTGAGGATGTGAAGCAGCACAACACCCAAGATTATGATGAGAGAGGTGTTATCGGTGAGAGGGACAGACGATACACTGTACCTCAGAAAAAGGCATGTCAGAACACACGGACCGACACTGTAGCTTTTGATGTGCTCCACTACCCCTCTGCCAGGGAAAACATTATGGCCCATGGAGTGCCCCCCCTCTCTTAACCATCAACACACCGCTAAAATCGGGCGCGCGCATCTGTTGTCGTCGAGATATACCTTAAGAGTAAGAATGGATGACATGCGCCCCTGACCGGCAAGAGAAGTACGTAGACCTGAAGGGGGTCAAACATCCCGGTTCTATAGAGACCGTACATATAACCGGCAAATAAGCAGGCAGTGACCAAGAAAGAATCTTCATATCTCACACCCTCACTTCTATTTTTTGCTTTCCTCCGCTTCCCTCTCCGTCCTCCGTGGCTATAAGTTTGTGTCTTATTGCTTGACCCACTTCAGACTTTTTCTCCTCTTCAACCGTGCAATATAAACTGCGGAGACCTCCCGAGCGAGCGTTGCGGCCGCCAACGGCCTTCCTTCTTCCCTGGACTGCTTAACTTGTTATAGTGTAGTCAAGTCACAGAAGTGGAGTCTACCCGCCCGGCTATGACAGCCCGTTTGCCAAATGTGTCCCTTGACATCTCCGAATCCCCTAAACTAAACCAAACACTCCTAGTCTAAGTTTTTCCTTGACCTACGTGCCTTGGCTTTGGCCTTCACTTCCTTTTGTGATACTGTAGAAGAGAATGGAGACACCTGTCAAGTCTATCCAGGATAAACTTCCCCTCCCCCTCCCCCTGATCCTGATCTTCACACCTTCGAGATTTTTTTGTTTCCATAACGTACAAAATCAATATCAGACAATATGACAGACAACCTTGACTCCAACAAGCCCCCCACTCACTACGGAAATAGAACCTCCGAAATGATGACCGAGGCTTGCCTCCCTTCTTTTATGTACAGTAGAACCCCCTATCCTGCGCAGCGTCCGGAGTAACGCAGCATATTACTTCGACCGTTCAAGTGAGGCACCGTCTCCGTACTCCGTAGTGCACAGTACAGTACTTATGCATTGCACTTGCCTCGTCTCCACGCAAGACCGTTGAAAGATGTGGGGACGGGGCTGGTCATGTTGGTTCGCCAAAAGTCGGAGTCGGAATGACAGGTGGATTTGTTGGTCTTAGTGTCACGGTATAGTAGTGTATACGGAGAATCTAAGCAACTAAAGCCTATGGTTGTTTGGTTCTCGCCCTGGCAAACAGTATTCTAAGTCTAGCCTAGTCTACACACTAGGAGTGATATCCCTGCACGATAGCGGCGGTCGTGGTTGGATTTAGCCTAGTACTTTGTTTTTTTTTTTTTTTTTTTTTCTCGCTGCTGAAGAATGACGATATTATTCATGGCATAACCTTCTCCCTTTCGTCAGGTAGGTGCTGTCAAGCTGAGAAGGGACCGGATTGTAATCTAGGCGAGTTGATTAGCTGCATTTTTGCACACCTGGGTTTCGGGTTTCGGGTCTACGATGAAAAGGAGGGGAGAGAATGCAGTGAATCGTTGCGTCATTTGTGTGAGTGTATTTGAAGTTGTAGTGGCCATGGGCTTTGGTGGGTGAGTAAGGGAAGGGATGGATAAGGGAAGGGAGAGAAGTTGTTTCAGTATGGTAGTTGTGCCTTCATGCCGCAAAGCCCTACATGCATACATCCTGCACACTTCTCTACCCTACATACAGGCGAATTTTCGATGTCGTGGTACCCAGGGAAAAGCAGGAGACCAGACACCAGCCAAGCTTGAGACGCGGAAAATATGCTTGTCTGAACTGCATTCTTTACCGACTGCCCTGTAGTTATCTTACTTTTTTTTTCCCTTGAAATCGTATGATGCTGTGGAGCGGATCGCAGGGAGGATGGCCTCTCTTGGCGGGATGTGTGGGCTTATGCTCGCATTTCGTCGCTACGCGAACACACTAGCAAAAAAAAAAAAAAAAAAAAAAAAGAGACTAATGAAGATCAGCAAAGTGCCATCCGGTAGTTGGATGACCGCTAACGGTGATTTGAGCCAAGTGGAGCTTGGTTTATTTCGCTTCTTTTACTGTTGATGAGACAAGTGGCAACCGGATCTCTAAATCTTTGTTCGGTAATTGGCCGAGTATAATCTTTTCCAATTCGTCCTGGGTAGTCCACCTAACCTATATGACGATCAACGATATAAACTGACGTACAGTTGCATGCATGCATGGAATATTTGAATTTCGAGGGGTCTTGCATCCTGGGTAAGTGTTTCTGTTTTACGGACCGATACCAGTATGAACACAACGCTCAACTTGTGCGAAATTTGGTTTTCTGTAGGTCCTATAGTGAGTATATGTTGATGTGTGGGGGCTCTAGGAAAAATGTATAGATGCTGGGGTTTTTCGTTGCTCGATCCTATACGGGTTCGATGTTGCGACAGCTGTAGACGGAGTATGACCAGGCATTTGTCGAAGCCATACCAAATAGTCCTCTGTCATAAGTCGAACAAAAAGTGATAGACTCCATCAGCCTTCAAGAGAAATGCATCGTCAGACATGACTAGTCAGCCGCGAGCAAATCTACTACCCTCATCGACTTGATATGATCAAGTGCTTTGTAATGGTTGTTCCTTTGTCGATCCTATAGGGGCCGTTTCACCCGGACCGCCAACATGAGCAGAGATACTCGGTATCCAGTGAGATATCCATAATGAAACAATGTGATGAACAGTAAGTTTCCGATAACTACTCTCTGTAGCAGGTAACTTTGGGAATTCTTCTGTAACTTGCCAGCAGGATAATCCCGAGATGCGTAGTAAAACTGAAACCCTCCACCCAGGCTGTAGCATAAAGACTACTTGTATATAAACAGCAACACCTCCATCGAACACCACATCTCCCTAAACAAGATCCCTCCAAACCACCAAGCACATCAATCGATACCCCTCACAGCTAAAAACCCGCAGACGCTAGACACCCACAATAACCACAACAACCACAATGGCCACCAACCCCACCCAATCGACCCCGACCAAAACCGTGGAACAGGCCTTCCACACCGGCCTTCCGCGCTGCTGGACCCCAACCCGCTACCGCCTCATGACGGAGGCGCCCCCGCTGTCCACCCCAGAAGACGGCCACACCTACGAGATGATCAAATGGGTTCCCGCGCAGGTGTACCTGGACCAAGGGCGCGAGCGCTACACCGGGCTGACCACCCGCGACCGCAGCCTCCGCGACACCAAGCTCCCGACATTGGAGCTACCCCAAGTCGCGACGGCCGAGGACGTCGGCTGGATGACGGAGGTCAACCTGATCCCCGGGTTGGAGCGTCTCCTCGTGGGCAGCTGGCCGCTGGGCGGCGAGGTTGTCGGCGGCTTCACGCACGGCCCCTGGGGCGAGAAGCTGTACGTCTGGACCCTCCGGCTGGCGTGGGGGTTCAGCGTCGACGTCGCCGTGCTGGTCATCAAGCCGCCGAACCAGGTGCGCGGGCTGGATTACTTTGGCGTCGTGGGCGGGGAGCGTCAGTGGCGGTGGTTCAAGGCGAGGCAGGCTGAGGGGGGGAACGACGACAACGGCAATGGCAACGACAACGCCAACGACCAGACCAACAACAAACCCGTCCTAACCCACGGCCTCCAGGCAAACGCCATCCCCCACACCCAGCAAGCCAGGAAGTACGGCGCCGTGCATGGCATCAGCCACGTCGCGCTCTTCGACTTCCAGCATCTGGTGCTCCTGGACCTCGATGGACACATGCGGCAGGAGAAAAATCCCGACAGCGGCATCCCCGATCCGCTCACGGTGACGTACTTTGACGAGCGGGACCGCGATCTGGAGAACGGTGAGTGCTTCCATATGGTCCTCCTCGGGTTTGTGCTGAGCGCAATGAACCGCGTGCCCTTGTTGGCGCGGAATAGGCTACAGCCAAAGGATTCTGAGATGTCGGACCCGCGCCGGGTTCGAGAGGTGTAGACACTTCGTAGTTTGATCCGGTGGTGGTGTGAGCGATGCTCTGCTATCCACTGGCATCTTGTAGTTCTGATTCAATGTTGACAGATTATATCATATTGTTTTAATGCTCACTCTGTTCAGAAGCAATTCATCACTTCAAATGAGTGTGGGCGCAACTTGCCTTTGAGTTATAATGTGTTTTGCGGAGGGACACCGAGTTAAGTGTGGAAGCACCATACCGACAGTGAATCTCCACATACCAGCGACCTTGAGTTGAGAATGACTCGCCCCATTCCTAGTTGAGAGTCCGCAAATATTTATCCCCTAAATATCTCAAGTGTTGATCATGTCGCTTGAATGAACTACCGCAGCTTTGTAATGTGAATCAGTCTGCTTGCGATAATAATAGCTACGAATGGAAACAACGACGAGCACATTATTGAGCCTTCCCATGTCTGGTGCAGTAAGGATACATCCTATGCTGTTTAAAATGATTGCAAAATCATGAGTCATCCATTTCATCTTGACGCGTTGCGATGTCCATTCATATACTCGTTCAAAGGGTCTACTTGCGCGCTTCTATGGCGCTCTTGATAGCTATGAAGCGTTAGGACAAGTCGACAGCAGATACCATCGAAGAATATACTTACCATCACAAGAAGTCTTCGCATCTCCAAACAACATCTTGGTTCCAGGCATAAAGAACATCGGGTTTGGTACGTCAGCTATCCAACAATTAGTATGTTCTCATTTATTCGAGAAACAGAGAATCCTACCGTATCCGCTAGACATGCCGCGCTTCATCACAATGACCTCCTTGCTCTTCCATGCATGCAACACGGGCATACCCGAGATGGGCGAGTCAGATTCCAGAGCAATCGGGTTGACGGTGTCATTTGCGCCGATGACCAGAGTCAAGTCCGTATCGGGGAAGTCGTCATTGATCTCATCCATCTCGAGCACAACTGTGCCGAATCAGTCACTGGAACTAGGTGAACCAAGACAGGATCTTACTATCATAAGGTACAGAGGCCTCTGCAAGGAGCACGTTGCACTGCCCCGGCATTCTCCCTGCGACGGGATGAATGGCGAAGCGCACTTTGACGCCTTTGGAGCGTAGCATGTTAACAATCTCCGCGAGGGCATACTGCGCCTTTGCCACCGCCATGCCGTATCCGACAACCTGTTACAGCGGTCAGCCAAGCTCATAATCAGGAAGAAACGAGATGACACACGATGATAACGCTTTCCGCATTTGAAAGAGCCTCGGCAGTATCGTCCACGGTAATCTGGGTTACTTGGCCTTCGATTTTCTTCGCTTGCTGAGGAGCAGCGATTCCGCCGAACAATACGTTCGTTAAAGATCGGTTCATCGCAACGCACTAGATCACATCAGAAAAGCTTGATGGTTGGTGAAGCTTAGCCACTGACCATGATGTATGACAGAATGGAGCCGCTGACTCCAATTAAGGAGCCTACACTGGTGAGAAGCGGACTGTTAAGCATAAACCCCTCGGCTACCAAGGCGAAGCCAGAGTATGCGTTGAGCACGGTGATGACCACAGCTAAAATCTGTTAGCTAAGCAGCCATAATGTCTGCCGATGTCTGGCTTACGCATGTCAGCTCCACCGATAGCAGCAGTCGTGGTGTAGCCCTTCAGAAAACTGAGTAAGGTATTCGCTCCTAAGCATGTCGCAGCGATAACTGGTGATGCGGGTGCCATCGTCACGAAGGCCCCCATGGTGGCCACGTTAGTCCCAAGCAGACTTGCATTGATCAAATGTCGGCCTGGAAGTATCGTGGGTCGTGAGGACATGCGGCCGGCAAGTTTCAGGAAAGCGACAATCGAGCCCGTAAAGGTGACACCACCTGCTCGAGTTAGCAAGGACTCTATCCAAGCGACAGGTATTCGCTCTCTCACCGATGAGAACACCGAGGTATGCCGTCACCATGTGTAAGGTCGAGATGTGTGAAACATCGGCCATCACACTACCAATGCTTGTGAGCACGGCCGCCAATCCAACAACTGAATGCAAGGCAGCGACGGTTTGAGGAAGCCCAGTTGGAGTAATGCGACGGCCAATCAGTGCACCTGGAGACTATCAATACCACTACCATCCAGAACATAATGAAGAACATACCAATGAGCGAGCCCACGCCTGCCACGATGCCGAATTGCGTCAGGACCTCGGAAGAAAAGCCAACAGCCGCAAGAGAAGCAAGGATTCCGGCGCCAACCCCTAGGATACCAAGAATGTTTCCGCGTCTGGCAGTTTGCTGAGAAGCAAGTCCAGAGATGGAGGCTAATGAAATCAGCACTGGCACAATAGATGCATGATGATACATACCAATGCATAGAAGACTGCTGACGAGGTACCCAGCTTGAACCAGTCCAGCCATCCCGGTACTGGCAGCAGCAACAAAGCCGCCACCAAACAAGACACCCGGAATAGCATAAAGCCAAGGGTATTCCGGTGGATCAGTAGGCCCTAGATAGGGTCAGAAGATATATCGCAGTAAAGGTGAATCACTGACGTTTAAACATGTCCAGCATGCGCTTCGTGATTACAAAGCCTCCAGAGATGTTCATGAAGGCCATTAAGACTGAAGCAGCTCCTAGTGCTTCTGGAATCGTGCTGGGCATATACCCTCCGCCCATTACGAAGAATCCTCCGATTCCAACCATACCTTGGGACCATTAATACTATAACCTGACTGAAAAGGCTATGGTTGACTTACCAGAAATCGCATTGGTCACACTCATCAACGGTGAATGGAGAGCTGGTGCGACACCCCACACAGCACGATAGCCAACGAGTCCAGCAAGGCCAAAAGTCATCAGGTTCCCCATAAAGACAGGTCCGGTGGCCTTCCCTAGTGCAAGAGCTGTTCCCATACCAGCGGTTGTAGCAGCAACCTGACGGGTCACCTTCTGCCAAGGTGTTACTGCCAATTCTGCTTGCTCCTTTGTAGGCACAGCTGCCTCAAGCTTTGGAGCAGGGGGCGGTGCTGGGCGTGGCGCTGGCGGCAAGATTTTTCCGTCCATGGTGACGATTGAACCGCGAACAACCTCATCTGATAGGTCTATACCGAAGGACTTTTCTTGAGGGGCCATTGAGAGAAGGAACTTGGTAATATTGTTGGAGTACAGGGTCGATGACTGTGTTGGCAAGCGTGATGGCAGATCAGTGTATCCTGATCTAGTTAGTTCAGATTTACTCCATAGAATCATGAATATACAAACCAATGATAGTAACATCCTTGTATTTGGTCAATTGTCCGGGAACCGTCGCTTCACAATTGCCACCAGCCTCTGCGGCAAGATCCACGATCACCGAGCCAGGTTTCATTGCCGCGACCATCTACATCAGGGTAAGCGAGCTGCTCGATGAATTTATAAGATTTATTCTTACCTCCTTGGTAATCAGCTTGGGTGCAGGCTTTCCAGGAATGAGGGCTGTGGTGACTATGATGTCTACCTCTCGGCACTGTTCCATGAAAAGCTTCATCTCTGCTTCTATGAACTCTTTGGACATCTCTTTAGCGTAGCCTCCTTGACCAGAGCCGTCCTCCTGTATGTCGACTTCAATGAACTCGGCCCCAAGAGACTGAACCTGTTCACGGACGGCCGGTCGAGTGTCGAAACCACGAACGATAGCGCCCAGTCTCCGAGCCTACGTCCTCAGCTGTCGGTAAAAGAAGCTAATAGAATCCGTGATAACGAAGTGCTTACCGATGCAATTGCACTCAAGCCAGCCACGCCAGCACCAATAACCAACACTTTGCCAGGGGGTATCTAGGGAACACTTAGCACGTCACGCAGTCAATCCACTACATGAGCATTATCACCTTTCTACCATCAACAACGTTAGTACATAGACAATAATGATAGGACATATCGCCTACCCAGCAGCAGTAGCCTGCCCGGTCAAAAACCGACCAAAGTGGTTTGAAGCTTCTAGAACCGCTTTGTACCCGGCGATATTGGCCATAGAGCTGTTCAGACATTATTAGTGACGTGGGACAGCTTCCAACATAACCTTACGCACCTCAGCGCATCGAAAACCTGCGCGCGAGAAATCCGGGGTATCATATCCATAGCGAAAGAGGTCACACCACGTGTGGCAAGTTCTTCCACCAATGGCTTGTTCTGTGCTGGGTACAGAAACGAGACAATCGTACTTCTTTGGCGCAGGTCCCAAACTTCATTGTTGGGACCCTGGAGTTGAGGACTACGGACCTTCAGCACGATCTGACTCTGAGACCAAATCGTGTTCCGGTCCACTAAGACCGCCCCAGCTTCTTCATAGGCTTTATCCAGGAATTCAGCATTCTCGCCGGCCCCGCGCTCAACCAGAACACGCGAAAAGCCCTTCTTGAGCAAAAGAGCCACATTCTGTGGGGTAATAGCAACGCGTCGTTCGTTTGGAAAAATTTCCCGAGGAACACCCACAGTCAACGAGGCATACGGACTGACTGGAATAGTGGGGGACTCGGGAGCACTACTCGCGTATCTTCGGGGGTTCTTTTGTAAGGTTCCGATGAACAGCGAGGCGGCGAAATTGTATCCGAGCGCATGCGAAGGGATTCGGATTGATGACACCACTATCGATGTCAAGTAACATTAGCAACCCTGCCACAAAGCTTGCATGACACACGTTGGAAATGGAAGCCACATGCCTGGCTGCTGAAGGCAAAGCAGCGATCTCCCAGCATAGGTGCTCGAAGCAGCCTGGCAAGGCCGAAAGGCCAAGCGCAGGTACGAGGGCACACTCATTGTCGTACTCGGTAGATTAAGTAGCAAATGGCGGGATTCTGGACAGTTTCATATCCGGAGTCGGCTCAATGACGAGTGCCTCGCGGGAAATGGCGTCCAGGCAACATAGATGGTGTAACGTTGGAGGATGACGGGAGTCACCGCGGTGAATAAGGATAAAGGGATGGCCGTAAGATTCACTTTACCAGGACAAAGAACTTAAGAATGATCCGACCAAGTGTGCAAACAGAGAGCAGACTCAGTGGTAAAGCTTATGGCTTTGAAAGAGGAATGAGTGGTTCTGGGCGGTTAAAATAGAAGAGGAGATGATGGGCATTGCGGGGGAGGCCAGGCTCGTCGCGCGCAAGGGATGGGCGGGAAAGCCAGCAACCATTCTTCCACGAGTATGATAAGTGAGTGAGTGAGTGGTGGATATGCGGTTCGGATGATCGGTATACTATTCCATCGGATCTCCGATGACACGGTGCCGTGGGGGATGTGACGGTGGAGGGATTGTCGGCATAGAATGAGGGGAAGCTCTCGTGGGGAAGACGCGCCTCGATTGGCAATGAGAGCTGGTTGTCAGTGGCGCTTGGCGGGGGATGACCTGGTTGTTTATGCTCCGACTTGACTGTCAACCTGGTGATTTTTTAGGCTATCTTGGGCAGGAGATGATTAAGTGCATGACAGCTTTACTGGACTCGAGGCAGGCTTCCCACAACATCGGCATGAATCCCGAACCTACCATGGCTAGTCGCATACAACTATGAGTATAAGCTGGAGCTGTTTGTCTTGTTTGTACGTACTGTGCAGGTGACATGGTCGGGTACAGTTTAGCCGGGGCAATGATGCCTGAGGCTTGAACCTCTAGTCATATTTCTACTTACTATCTCCTGACCACGTGGATACAAGAGAAGACTTTCCAATGTTGGATCACATTTCTCGCAACAATCGTGCCCTACATATGTTGGCAGCGGCAATTACTCTAAGAAAGAAAAAGCATTTACGCAGTCCGGTATAGGAGCCGCGCACGGATTTTTTCCTGAAAGCTCCACCGGTAGTGGATCCCGCTGGGATTTGATCACGGAATGATGTCGTTCGTTACCTTCCTCGTGCTTCCTTGCTTGCCTTGCCCGCCAACGATCAGTCTCGACTTAGCGACTCGAAAAGAGTCGCTTCAGCCTGGACGCTACGATGAAAGAATTGAATATTTACTCCCCCCTCAACATCGTAGTGCTGGCCCCCAGGCACTTGTTGGACGGTCGTATGTTGAAGTGCGGCTAGGATGGATCTGAGAACGGGGCCAACACGATGCTACCAAACCTACAACCTGCCTTAAAGTTCCCTCGTTGAGACCCACGGTGGTCTCATCCTGCCATGCACCACTGCTGATTGGAATTTTGGTCATGAAGTGGAGAGTGCAGCTTGAGCTTCTATTTCTTCGCTCCCTCACCTGACGGGCTCTTGCGGAGCAGACATCTCCGGACTCAGTCAAGCCTTCGTGATCGCCTTCGAATCAAATCACCCACCAAAATTGTAGTCTCTATAGAGGTAACACACGTTCGACCTGCATAGACTGTCGGCTTGCATGAAATCTTATATGTAGTTGAAGTCGCTCGGAACCCCGTCGGAACCTTATAGGTTCCTTATAAGTTCCTTACAAGGTCTGGCCTCAGCTGTTACCCGCTCAAACTCTTTTGGGAGTCTTTTCTGTCATTCGTTGGATCTTGTTGGCGGCTTACCTGGTGGGGTTGCCGGTTCCTGGCAAATCTCAATTCTATCAGCAAATTTCACCCGCCTTGAAAAGAGTCACCTTCGTCTCATTCATTACACTCTTTCTCTTCTTTTCTTTTTCGGTCTGGTACACAGAGTAACGCCAGTGTCGAATTCGCTGGCCTTGGTAACACCCCCACCATGGCTACTCCGGCGCATCAGGACCAGTCGCAGCTGGTGGTTGACCCCAACACACTTCCTGTCGAAGCCGAACCGGTCAGAAGTCAGACTGAATCGCACGAAGATGCGAAACTCTTGGTAAGTGTCGCGACAAAAGTCTCCGGATTTCAGAGCACATCAAAGGAACAAATTGCGGAACCCCGATACTAACACACTCAAACAGAAGTCAATGGGCTACAAGCCAGTCAGTACTGGCCATTGACCCACATGGAAACGGTAACCGCTTATACATCTGTACAGGTCCTGCACAGAACATACACTCTCGTTGAGAACTTTTCAACAACATTCGGTAAGGCAATCTGCGGCCCGGCCGGTGTATATGGCATGACTCCATCTAGTACCGCATGCTAACCTCGCATTTGACAGCTGCGTTGTACTTTGTCGGAGGTGTGCGGGTCACATTCAGCACCGGTATCGCAGCAGGCGGCAACCTAGCTTACTGGTGAGAAAGAGCCGTCAACATCCCAATGGCGCGAACCGATGGCTCATGCTTTCACACAGGACGAGTTACCTGGTGACCATGGTCTTCACGTACATCACTGCTGCGGTCATTGCGGAAGTATGTTCGGCCTCTCCGTCCGCAGGATCCATCTACCTCTGGGCCGCAGAGGCAGGAGGCCCTCGGTTCGGTAGACTACTGGGCTTCGTTGTTGCATGGTGGAGTACCACTGCCTGGACGACGTTTTGCGCCAGCAACACTCAGGCTGCAGTGAACTACATGCTTTCCGTACGTGTTACCCGCATCTCACTACGCTAAATCCAGGGTGCTGATAAAGCAACAATAGGAGTTGACAGTTTTCAACGTCGACTTTCCGAAAGACACCTCCAGCGTCAAGTTCCGCGCCGTGCAGTGGATCTGCACTGAGATTCTCCTGGCGTTGGCGGCGCTCCTGAACTATCTGCCGCGTATGTTGAATTGAACCTCCCCTCTCCCTCGGATGTGCGATAGTACACACCCCAGACTGACGCGGAATCCTTCTAGCCCGTGCATACAAATGGGTCTTCTACTGCTCGTCCCTCATCGTCCTGCTGGACTTCTTCCTCAACCTGATCTGGCTGCCCATCGGAGCCGCCAACACCTGGGGCTTCCGCACGGCGGAGGAGGCCTTCATGTCCACGTACAACGGCACCGGCGCCCCTGCAGGCTGGAACTGGTGTCTGTCCTACCTCGCGACGGCCGGTATCCTGATCGGATTCGACGCTTCTGGCCACGTCGCCGAGGAGACCAAGCACGCCTCCGTCACCGCCGCCCGCGGTATCTTCTGGAGCACCGTGGTCAGCGGCATTGGCGGGCTTGCAACGATCATCCTCTTCCTGTTCTGCGCGGTAAGCTCTCCACATCTCGCGGCGTCACCCCCCACGCCCAAAGCAAAGCACAAACCCACTAACCTCATCGCCAGCCCGACCCGGACACGCTATTCTCCTTCGGCTCACCCCAACCCTTCGTGCCGCTCTACGCCGTCGTACTCGGCAAAGGCGGCCACATCTTCATGAACATAATCTGCATCGTCGCCCTGTGGCTGGTAAGAGTCCCCCTCCCTGACCCCCTTGCTCCCCAAACCACCAAAACCCACACCCCCCCCTAACTCTTCCCAATAAAACAGAACACAGCAATCGCCATCCTTGCCGCCTCACGCCTCGTCTTCGCCGTCGCGCGCGACGGCGTCCTCCCCTTCTCGCACTGGGTCTCGCAGGTCAAGAACGGCCAGCCGCGCAACGCGGTCATCGTCGTCTGGGGCGTCGCGGCCCTGATCTCGTGCACCCTGCTGCCGTCCGACGTGGCCTTCACCTCGCTCGTCTCGGCCGCGGGCGTCCCCAGCGCCGCCGCCTACGGCCTGATCTGCCTGGGCCGGTTGCTGTGCACGCCCGACCGCTTCCCCAAGCCCGAGTGGAGCCTGGGCCGCCTCAGCAAGCCCTTCCAGTTCATCGGCGTCTTTTGGAACGCCTGGGTCGTCGCCATTCTCTTCTCGCCGTACGAATTCCCCGTCACCGGGGCGAATTTGAATTGTATGTGCACACACCCACCCCCCCATTTCACTAGTAAGACGCAAACTGAAGCTGACGCGAAAAAACAGACGCCCCTATCATCATGGCCGGTGTGACCATCTTCGCCCTGATCTCCTACTGGGTCACCCCGGAAAGCGCCTGGTTGCCGATCGATCGGATCTCGCATTTCATCGATAGTAAAGGGGCGGTGCAGAGCTCGGTGGAGGAGGTCGGGGTGAGTAGTAGTAGTGTTGGTGGTGGTGGTGGTGCTCGGGCGGGTAATGGCGGTGAACCTTCTTCGGAGACGACGGAGTGATGCAGTTGTGAGAACTTGGTGGACTCCGCGGCGATCTGTGTTTCGGTTGCGCGGTGGACGCTTGGGATGGTTCCCGATCTGGGGGTCTTGTCCTGGACCCAAATGCAGGGAAGAGGGGGAGAAAGCAACAATAAAAAGTTCATTGATTTTGATCGAAATGAAAGAGAAGGGTGGAAAGAAGAAAGGTATGGGATGGTCAGTTTATATGTATAATTAATCGTAAATATCTAGATGATGCATTAGAAGGCTGCTTGACGTGGGAAGTTTTATCTTAGGGATTTTTTGCCTATTGTGTGTTTTATGAGGTGGTGTATAAGTAAAGGGAATTATTTGAGTATCCGAAGAGATCGGGAAGGCCGTACGGAATGAATGCTCTCGACTCGGGTTAGTGGCGTCAGAAGCTATTTGAGTTTCTCATAACTATGAGCAAAATTTATGGTTGCGGTGTTTATCTTGTAAAGATTGCAGTGAAAGTCTTGGATACATTATTTAAACATCCTCTATGTAATAGCAGAATCCTATATGTGCCGTCTATACACCGCGGTATGTGCAAGGTGACGAATCCAAACAATCTATCCCGCTGCACGTGCAGATCCAGTCCGAAGGACCTCCAACATTACATGTGTAGCAAACCAGAGGGTCCAGCCCTATCCGACCAAGCGCCTCTGAACCCGATAAACGCCGTCCGATACCATCGAGTCCCCCGCTAAATATGTCATAGAAACCAAAAAAAAATATGTCACCCGACCAGGGTTCGTAAAGTATGAAGTAGAAAGAACGCTCGGGCGTCGTATTTCCCGATGCAAAATCGTGGGTGAAGAATTATAGCAGTGGCGAGAAGGGCGTGATTATGGAAGAAGAATGGATGAACGGATGTCATCCATTGATTCGATCCATCCTTCGGGGAAGGCACGCTGCTTGAACCATGCTTTCTCCAACTCTTCAAGGCCTCGATCGACATTCTGGACCATTGTTAGTATTCCACTAAGAAGATGTAATGCAAAACGGTTTAGAGACATACCTTGAAACCATATCGCTGCAGTTCGGTCATGGTCTGTCGTACATATTTCTGTTCATGTTCGTTTCGTGTCTCATGTCCCGCGGTGAACAGGGGCCATAGTGCCGCCAGTTGTCCCACGTCTTTGGCGAGCTTTCTAATTAGTGCTAAAATTCGCGACGCAAGCATGTCCAGTAGCGGCCTTTGGGACGGACGATCAGGTCGCCCTGCCGCTCCCACTCGGTGGAGGAATATATTAGTGGCTTTCTCGTAAGCCTCGATGCATCCCGCGTATTCGAGAACATCTGGATAAGGGTATTGCTGTAAGCTCGTGTCATCCAACTGGCCTAGGCTTTGAAGAGCATCAGGGGCGTTCAAACGCCATTGCACTAGTCGCTGCAGCAGTTCGTGATAGACAAGGTCTTCTTGCTCGAGTGACATGAGGCCATCGTGTTTAGCTTTTCCGAACGCACTGATTGCCGCCTGGATTTCCATCATCGCCGACCAACATTGGCGCAGCTCCACCAAGAGATGGTTGTAGGCGGGCGCTTCCGAAGACAAACTTGGGGTGCCAAGATTGTACTCCCAGCCCCCTCCATGAGTTGTCCAATAACTACCTTCTACCACTGTGCCTTCGCTGGTGGCACATGCTCCGGCGACGTCGAGGTATGAAAGAAGAGAAACCAGGAATGGTCGGATCGGGTGGTTGATTTCAGCGAGCCGCTTGGCTTCTTTTGCGGGGTCGTCATTGGCGGAGAACAAGATTCGGTATATCTCGCGGGCTCCCTTGAGGTGGATAGCCCAGTTGTGATTTTGAGAGTCCATCATCTAACCAGTCAGCATGAAAGACAGGTACGCAGGTCTGCGGTGGACTTACCTCGAACAGAGACAGCAATAGACAAGTGGCAAGGTCGGTGAGCCGGACACTCTGGTCTGGCTCGGTGTACCGAGTCCTGAAAGACTTAACAACTTCACCGTAGTTGCTCATAGCCTGTTGAAGATGCTTGTTTCGTTGCTGCCCTTTGGAAGTATTGGCGAGATGCAGTGCCCCCATAGCTTGCATGGCGCTAGCCATGGACGGTGATGACCGAGCGAGGTCCGGGAAAAACCGTCGATAGGGATTGATGTTGATCGAATTGTCGTAAATGAGCAACAAGGTAGCGACTTGATCGACGAAGTGTGTGTAATAGCGGCCCTCGACACAGTCGAGAGACGAAGATATAAACTCGGCTGGGGAGATCGGCTCCTGGAAACGGAATTTTATGGGTTTGAAGTCTGCAACCGTTGTAGGAGACACCACTAGTGCCTCGAAAGGCTCCTCATTCTCTTTCGACTCCTGCTTCACCTCTTGTGGTGTCGGGGAAGTCGATTTCTTGTCTCGTTTCTTAGTGGGCGCGGTCGTGGATTCGAAAGTAGCCGGTGGCGGCCCGTAGACCTTGAAAGTCATGCGGCCCTGTGTCCCATCGCACTCGAGACCCAACCGAGTACAATTCTTACACGACGGCGACGCTTCATCGCAGCGCACATGGCGACGACGGCAGGTTGAACATCCGGTGAACCCCCGGTGATGCCATCTCCGGACCCGCTTTCGTTTCTCAGGCACAGCAGCGGCTGCGGGAAGCTGGGGCTGTGCGGGGAGAGGAGGCTTTCCCGGAGCACACACCAAAGTCTGAACCTCCATATCTATGAACTCAAGTTGAATTGGCGAAAAGATGGTGGGGGGAAGATATCCATGAGACAGAGGGAAGGACGGGGAGAGGTCCGACCGGAATTCCAAGCCAGACTACGGAACGTTCACCAGTGTAGCATTCAGTGGCGGGGGTTTCGGGATCGGTACAGTGGTTGATGAGATAAGGAGTACGTAGTAAAAGAGCGAGTATTGGAGTGTCCAGACGCTGCAAGTCTGAATGTCGCTTGAGCGAAAATGAGGTGGTGGAGAGAATTTGATTGTGAGAAGAAAGGATAAGAATAAGAATAGGAATAGAGGATGAAATTGAATGATCGACAAGCGTTGGGAAGGGGGGAAAGAGAAGGTCGAGATCAGATCCGATTATTATTAAGTCAGTCGAACCACCGGGTTGGTTGAGGGAGGGAGTGTCCGGGGGGGCAAATAATCTAAAGGCGGCGAAAGATCAAGTCAGAGACAAGACAAAGGCCGGGGAGGGACCGAGTGGGGGAGAGAACTAAGACTGAGCACGAAGAGGGGTGAGGGGGAGGGGGAGGGAATGAAAGAGATTGAACTCTGGTCGGGCAAATAAAAATGCAACTGAAATTGATTAACTGCAGGTGAGACCAACTACCGACTTGGCTTATGTCTACCTAGTCTAGTATATGTCTGAGTCTTAAGTCGAAGTCTACTCCTCCGTAGCACTGGTCTTTTTCTACCTCAGCTAACTTACCCTTCGTCCACTCGAATTAATTATTTTTTTTCTTTGTGTTGTAAGTTAACTACTAGTTTTTATTAGCAACTTAGCAAGACTATGTAATACGTAGCCTGAGTGGTCGGGAGGTCTGGATGAGCGATTGAGAGCAATGGAACCCATAGCCCATACCCACTTTCTCCTACCTCTTCTCCCCAATCAATCTGCAGATCCTCCATCCGGAGACATGGTCCGGTGCATTAATTCTCCTTCTTCTCTGCCTCTCGTCTCTCTCCTTCTACCGAACATATCCTTTGGAAATGATATTACCTGTACATCTCTTGCATCATAGTTGCCAGTATTAAATACCCCTTTTTTAAATTGTCCTAGAGAAGAAGTGGAAAGAGAGAAACTGCAATCCGCCGGCTGCACCCTAAATTACCCTACAGTCGCCGACGCAACACTGGACAAAACGGAGGCTGCAGATCAACCCTAATGGTGGATCGGATGCCTGATGATCGGACATGGTCACCCTTTCTTCGGAACGCAACTCTGCCCCCAAAACTAAAAGACTAAAGCTTTCTTTCTTTTTAGGTCCTCCTGCTCGAAAATCACGCATGGAGAACAGTCCAGTCTTTACTAGCCTCCAGCAGCACCTCCTACCACACTTTGAGGAGGCCTCGCAAAGCTACCGAGAATCAGTGGCCCGCAATGACTGGCTTTCCTGCCTTTCCCAGATCCCCACTCCGATCCACTCGTGCCTTGGGTTCAGCGGCAGAAGATTGAGGTTGCGGTCGACTGGACAAGCCTGTCCTGCCAGAAATCTCCGTGCTTCTGATAGCAATGAAGCTAGTCAAAACTAGACCTGCGCCCCAAGAAAATTCTTGGAGAAATCAGTCAGTCATCCAGGAGTCCATCTGTCCAAAACCCAACGGATTTGCGCGAAATGGCAACTAGTTTCCTCCTTTCTCGATTGCCAAGCACTTGACTGGGAACTCTCTTCCTTGGCCGCTCCATTCAATCCAGTTGTCTCCCTCGTGCAACTTGATCTCAGTCGCTTGTTAACAGGCTTGTCCCTGTCCGCTCCCTGTTTTATATTCCAGGCGTGATATAGCCTGGAGCATCGTCATTTCGTCCATTTAACAGATCGTCCCGCAATCGCTCAGACTTGCCCAACGAGTCACCGTAAAATCGATCTTGCACCTCGGCAGAGGCTTCTTGGATTGTGGAATTGTCTCAACCTCCCCGGCGGTTGTACATTCCGTTGACCTCGATCCGAATGCGCGCTTCTTACTGCGCTTGGGTTAGAGAGGTTTACGCCCCCCTTGCGGAAAATCACGACTCCATTCTGGTGTGGGACGGGTGGTCCCGCCGTACCCCGTGCACTACCGTCAGAGGTCAGCGAAGGAAAACTTCGACGTCTTGCATAGTCCCATTTTCCCAGATTGTTCGATCTGATGAAGTCAGCCCCTTTGACCTGCCAATCATTGGTGACGCCCGATGACAGGTTTGTGGTCGATGTCAGTGGCCCCAGGGTCTTTGCATGATGTGCGAGAAGGCAATTCGAAAGGCAACAATCTCCACCGTCTTCGTCTCCCTACCGACGGTTCTCACACGTCCCGTTCCATGGACTAGGACGAGTTCTGGATGCAAGAGGCGATGAGGATCACAGATCCCCTTTGTAGCAAACGTCCGCAATGTGTAAGAGATTGGACCCTGTCCGATCAAGACTAGATATTCATGTCACGAACAAGGCAACTAGACTACTTCCCAAACATACTCAGGGCTAACCCCAATCCACCATCTATACAAACCCACCCGCTGAGGTAGCACCGTAGCAGCATCACATTGTTCCAGATGGGCCAGCACGCACTAAAAGATTAATCCCGGGCCGGTTTGACACAAAAGTGACTCGTCCAATGCTTATTACAGAGCCAGAAGATCACTAAATCCGCCGCCGGCCCAATTACCCCCGTCTCTCTTCCCCCTCCCCTTCACGGAAGTAAACGGGGCATATCAGAAGATGCAGTCGCTAGTAAACTCAAATCGACATCCCGCTCGCTCCGAAGGGGAACATCCCGGAGTAGCCCATAGCAGATCCTTTCCCCTTCCTTCTCTTTCTCGCTCTCTTCCTAGAGGTTCCCTTACAACCCAGAGCCCCTGGCCTATTCTTGAACCGTTGCGCCACCAGGTTCTCGAAAGTCTAAGCCGACATATAGTTTGTTGTGTGTTGATTGTCTAATAACGGTACAGCCTTCAATGAAAATAATATGCCTTAACACCAACCGGTGTAAACTCAGTTCAAAGCGTGCGCGTACTGTACTTCATCACATTTAGTGCTCGTGCGTTGCTTAAGTTGGAGACTAGAGTGCCAATCCCTCTCGTGCACAAGAAACAGCATCACGGCATCACGGCACTCCTCCTTCCCATACCTGTTCCGTCATTGAAGGCTGGTTCTACATTGTCTCACTCACCTCAACCCCAGGGATCGTGGAAATCCGAACCCACCGACATACGTCAAAAACCATAGCCAAACATCATTATAGACTATGCACAATACACCAATGATCAGACAAGGCAGTACAGTACCTATACTCCGCACAAAGTATGCACTCACTCATGCACTCCAATTTCAAGACAGAAAAAAAAGAGATTATCTGAGCGCATCATGCCCTCGAACCTTCTGGATCATGATTTACCCCCTTCTCAAAGACTTCCGCTTCCTCCATCCCCGAACTAATCCCAACTCGCATAACTTAACCGAATCTCCATTGAATTGTTCGGGCATCGCCCGACACCAATGCAAGGAGAGTGGCCATCTCTGCATATGTCGCATGCAACAATTCCTTTCCCCCATTCCTCCGCCGCCGTTCTCGCATCCTGCATGCCCTAAAATCGGCAGTATTGCTTACTCCGTAGGTACAGTACCTAGCAGTGCCAGTAGTTTCCTTTTCCGAATTGGCCCCGGAAAGGATGATCGGATCCGGGAGGATGAGTAGAAAGATTGTTTTTCTCTCCCTCTGGCCCTTGAAAATTCATCTTGACAGGGGTGGTTGTCACTGCCTCACGTTCTCAGTTTTAGATCGTGTGTGGGCTGGGCTAAGTCTTAGTCAAGATCTGGTAATGGGTTTGCTGAGCGCGGGCGGATGGTGCGGGACGACTATAGCTGCTAGGCTGCTAGGCTGCTAGGTTGCAATCTAGCTGTGCCGGTGAAATGATTTGTTTTGATCTATTTGTGTGTGTGCTGGATAGCTGTAGCAACGATGGTGTCCACCGTGCCTTCTAGAAGGGCTGAGGCAATGAAGTCGTGTTTACTGTGGCGAAAAAATTCAGCTTGTGTATTTGCAAGTAGGAGATTGTGTGGCCTTGCAGTAAGAGAAAGCAATCAGGCATGGAAAGTCTACAGTGGGATGTTAGAGTACAGGAGTTCTCGGGGAGACCAGCTGGACGCATCGAATGGAAAACACATGTCAACTAAGGGCCTGTATTTGGCTGTGGCTGGATCACTCCATATGTACATACACAGACCCAATTATCCTGTCCATCTCAAATCCAAGGCAACCAAGATGTGGACTAGTTGGTCGAGGCTTAGCCCACACTATGGCCCCTTTCCGGTCTTTCAGGTTCGTATTGTTAAGTTTGCCCTTGCGCGTAGTCGGCCGAGCGCCGACGGCAATGGCACGACGATCACCCCCACAACCCGAGAACAGTGAAAGCCAACGTCATGACTGAGAAAAGAGAGATGAAGAAAAGAAATTAGAATACAGAGAAAGTATTGGGTATCTGCTGGCAAACCAGAATTTCAAATTGCCCGCCAGAGGTAGGAAAATGCAAGGGTCAGACATTCATGAAGAGTGAACACAATTCAGAGAGGAAAAGGAGATAATGAGGGTCGGAATCAGATCATCAAAGGCGCTCCGCTATCCTGAAATAATTTGATGAGACATCATATCTGAACCAAGACAGCTGAAACCAATTAGGGAAGGAAGAGGGCCCGGTAGCGCACCGGATGCGGACGGTACAACATGTGAGAGGCGACCTAGGACGAACTCATGCATCAACAGACACGGTCGTCCCGGGGAAAGGAAAGGATGCGGATTCTCGGGGCTCAGGATCTGGCGACTCCGCCGCGTCGCCCTTCCCATTCGCACGGTCGAATTCCAATGTTTCGGCTAGCTCAGCAGCCATGGGATCGAGATCTTCCTCCTTGAGACCAGTGGCGAGTGCCACCAACTTCCGATGGACATCGAACTTGGTGCTTACTCCCGCGTCAGCCGTCTGCTGAGCAAGGTCTTTGACAGCAGCGCGCCGAGCTTTCTGTGCCGAGCACAGTTGTCGAGTCAGCTGGTAGGTGCGCAGCAGTTTATCGTGGTCTGTGGCGGGTGGCGTCGTACCCTCCTGTGCTGCAGGCACTACTACCGATGATATGCGCTCTCTTAGGCGACCCTGCTGAATCTGCTCCAGCAGTGACTCATAGCCACTTCGCAACTGCTCATAGCGTTCAAGCTGCGCATCGATTGGTTGCTCACCAGCCTCCTGCGCTTGTAAGACAGCTGTTTCTTTCTGCACCTTCTGTCGATCCACCTCTAGTTGCTCGTACAGTGTTTCCGGGTTCGCAACGTCGTCAGAGTCCTGCCCATTCGCTTTTGAGCTTCCGTAGCTTACGGTAAGTTTCTTATTTGCTTCAGCCATTATCACACCGATTTTGGTCAGCAACGCGGTGGTGGCGGGAGATGATGACTCTTGGGCAAGACTGGCGGCCTGGGTGTCAACATTCATCGGTCCTGGTGCTTCGCCGTCCAATTGGTCATTGCCCATCGTGATAGATGATGGCGGAGGAGGAATGTCGCGTTCGGACGGATGCGCTCGTCGAGTAATGCTTGCAGCCGTCTCGCCCTTCTTGTTCACCAAGTCGCCAGCCCGTGGACACCGTGCAAGAAGCAAGTCCACCAAGCGGAAAGCGCCATTCCGAGCAGCGACCAAGGCCGCTGTGTCTCCATTAGAGTCCTGGGAGGACAACAACAGATCGACTTCTTCCACCGAGCACATGAGGCGCAGCTTGTCTAGCAGCACATCACAATAGTACCGTGAGCTTTTCCATTTTCCCTTGCTCCGCGTAGTCTCTGCTATATGATGAAATATGGTAGCACCAAACCAGTCTCTGAATGAGACTGTATCCCAAAGTAAATCGAGAAGCGGAGGCAAAGTTCTCTTCTCGTAGTTATTTGTAAACAGAACGGCTCGCACAAGCGGGGTTTCTTCGTGTACCGATAATGCCTTCATATCTGCTCCTCTCCGTAGAAGATCTTTCACAATCTCTATATCTCCCATAGCACAGGCCCAGTGAAGGGCCGTGTTACCAGAGTCGTCAATTGGGCGATCTACCTGGAAGTTGGATGGTGGCTGTGGAGGTGGTACACGTGTAGCCTCGGGCGCATCGCCTACTGTCATGAAGTAGTCCAAGAGCTGGTCCCCATAGAGTATGTGTTCTTGTTCCCTGATGGACATCACAGGCGCCTCGTTGATTCCACGCTTCCGCTTGCGAGAGAAGTTACCGTTCTGTGACATTGTCATCATCTCCTCATCCGCTATCATTGACGACGACTCAAGCGTCGCTTGCTCGATGGACTCGTTGTCGTCAAAGCCGGCGCTCATCTCGTATTGTTCGTGAGTAAAGGGAGGTGGCGCCATGTTCCGGGCTGGTTTGATAGCACTAAAGACCTCTTCGTTCACAGTTCTCCGGTTGGCTGTGTTTTTCGGTGCCCTTGGTTTCGATGCGGCGGTTGTGTGTTTCGGTGCTGGTGGAGGGCTACGATCTCCGGCAACATAGTCAAAGATCGGCCTCAATTTGTCGATAATGTTGTTGCGCTCAGCGAGAAGTCGGCCTTCAGGGAGAGGTATCCATGTTCCTACTAATGTCAGAATCTATACGTCTTTCAAAAGAAGGGATAATCATGGGGAGCTTGGGCAAGATGGACTTACCTTGATATTTGCCATATCCACCTTGCACTTTCTCATGGACACCCTTTTGTACCTCCCGCTCGAGAATCCTCGTTCTCGCTGGCTTGTCGAAACCGGCGACTTTGAGAATATGGGTTGCATTTATCCAGTCATCCGACCGTCTGCGCATCACGCTTTCTCCATCAAGTTTCAGCTCGTATACCGGTACCTAGTGACATGCATCAGCTGGGGGTTCTACCCCTTCGGTTGATCGAAATTGGTCGTAAGTGATCCAATCGAGGAGGGCACGGTAGGTTCTGGATATTCCTACTTACACTGCTGTAGGTAGCAGAGTACACCTTAGAAAAGTCAACTCCCGCCATGATGTGCGTCCCCTCACGCTGTCCTGATTCAGTGAGGTCCCGTTCAGCAACAGCGACTGACACCGCCACCCGGCAGTCGGACAACAACAAGGATTTCAGGAGTTTATTCAATTATTGAAATGCATTAAGATCCAACGCTCGTTGATTGGCCGGGTTGCTTCACATGAACATGTTTTGGGAAAGACCGAGGATGGCTTGTTAATGATTCTGCAGTATTGATCTCGAAACGCGAAGGTCTGGCTAAGCAAGACGCGCCCTGGGTACGTCGGACCGCGTAAAGTGGATTTAGCCAAGCTAGTCCTCTTACGGATAAATAGTCACGTGCAGTCACATGATGCTACCGGCAAGGAAGGAACGACGACGACTACGGAATAGCTGCAACCCTCACGGTCCAGTCGCTTGTCCTCGAAACCCACCTTGCTAACACCCTTTTCTCCTCTCAATATGACTGTTGCCGAGACATTGAAGAGCGCCGTTGGGCTTTCGGGCAGCACTCGTAAGTTTTTATTGCCATTGGCCCCCTTTGCGTGGGGAAGCAACGCGTTGAATAATGCTGCTCATGACTGACACACCCTCTCAGCTGCCACGAGCCAGGAAATGTCTGATGCTCGCCTTCCTCTTCAGTACCGCGACTCTTGCGCTCACTTGCTAATCCCTTTGAACCGCTGCCGGCAGCAGGAGTACTACCTCCCTTGGAAGTGCGAGGTGCGTTGTTCTGACTCCGAGAATACTCCTTCCCTATAATTTGCGTTATGGAACAATGGATCTGACATGTGCTTCGCAATCTGCAGGATGAGCGACACAGCTACGAGAAGTGCCAGTACGAGGAGTTCAAGAAGCGCGTCGCCAAGATGGAAGAGCTCCGCGCCGCAAAGGATGGTGCCCGCAGCAATTGATACCGGAAATTTCGACATCCTATTATTCGCGACGAACGAAGCAGCATGTTATGTACATAGAGATTGTGAGATTGTTTGTCCATGTACCGACTTTGGCGTTGGGATTCTATCGAGTCGATCCTGTCGATACCATATTTTGAGAGCCAGGGTCAATCAACCCATGAAAGGCCTCAGTAGCTGGTCACCTCCCTCCAGTGTCTTTTGGGAGAACCGCGCAGCTTGACGTGCTCCTACTCTAGGGCAATATAGCATGAGTAAGACAGGCATTCCTGCCCTAGCCGGAGGCCGGTTTGAGCATGTCAGCCTGCTAAAAAGCGAGTCGAAATTGAGACAGCATCAATTGATTCTGGCACGAGAGCTTCAATCCTTTTTCTGGAGCACCTTATCCTAATTGCAAATCAAGTTAAAATGATGGTAACAAGCCCCCGCTTTACATAGTCAATCATGTGCGAAGATGCCATGGTCTAGGTGTGTATTATGTAGCGCAGTAGAAAGAGGAATCTTGCGTAAGCCATTTCAATCATGTTTCTCTCGCTATGCTGGAAAAGAAATGCATAGTTATAGCTAGTTATAGCTGGCGAATGGATCTGTATACGGCTGCAGCGCACTGATGACGGGAAAATCACCTGACCGGGCGCCTTTCCTCCACGCTGCTTAGAAATCGACGTGGGTGACAATCACCGATAATGCTTTTCCTGCCCCGCTACGAACGGAGAGACGTTTTGTCCCCGCCAATAGGCGACTGAGCCTGGAACCCCGAAGGTTCGACACGAAAATCAGCATCAAGTCGATAAGAAGGAGCACGATCCGTCTGCTTCCTCTTTCTCTGGCATCCTTTGATCCTGCTTGGCGGTTCAGGATCCTGGTTCATCTCGCCTGTGCCTTGAGTCGGGCCATTGCGTGCTACTGACGTGACTCGATTGGGGGTCCTAGATCGGAGTCTAAGTGTCGAATCTGGAATTTCCCCTCATCTCCGCGGGGTTTTTGTATGGACTGATTTTCCCGTCCTCTCACCCCACTACCTTTGTGCCGCGACCCAACGGTCAAGTTTTCCCCTCGGAAAATCCGCGCGTCTTTCTGCGGATAGTCCTGATCAGCGACAGAATGGGCTTGCTGTATGTGATGAGCGCTGAGTGAAAGCCAGATTATTTGAGCGCGCCAGAAACTGACTTGCGTTCCTACAGCGCGCTTGGAACGGCCCTGGATTGGCCGGAGGCCAAGAAGAGAGCAGACCAGGTTCGCAAATGGGGAATTGAGGTGAGTATCTCGCCATTGAGTCTCTTTGGCATATGTCGCAGCCAGAAATGTATTGACCGAAGACAGCAATTACTTGCGAACTGGCATAGAGCCAAGGGTAAGGAGCGCAATGCTCTGCTTTGGGGCGACGAGGTAACATTTTACCCCGCAGGATCTCATGTTCTTGTGCTGATCGATCTCAACTCATCAGGTTGAGTACCTTGTTGTAGCTGTCGATGACGAAGCGAAGAAGGCCCGCCTTTCACTCGCACAGGCGGAGATTCTTAAGTCGCTTGCGGAGGACGAAGCATCATGGAAGCAGGGAACTCGACCTCAGTCCCCGAACAATGAGCAGTGAGATCTGGTGACAAGAACAGATTGTGGACATTTCTGATGGATTGCAGTGACGGGGAAGAGCCACCACACTTCCATCCGGAGTTTGGCCGCTTCATGCTTGAAGCAACGCCGGGTAAGCCCTGGGGAATTGATTTCAAGGACCTGCTGAAGGTCGAGTCAAACATGAAATGGCGGTTCGTACCCAACCACTGGATTTGATGATAGCTTGTGACCTCTAACATCATCATCCACAGACGCGAGGTTGCCAAAGCCCACATGGCACCGAATGAACATCCCATCACCCTTACGACATTCCCTCGTCTGGGTACCAAGGATGACTATATTCAGCCCTATTATCCACCGTCTGGTCCTGCGCTTCGATCTCAGTTTGTGCCTGACGAGATTGCCAATCCGCACATCAGGTTCCCAACCCTGGCTGCTAATATCCGGTCAAGGAGAGGTCGCAAGGTTGAATTGAACGTCCCGGTATACAAAGACACGAATACGCCCGAACCATTCAGAGATCCAACTGTGAATTATGATCTTCATATCTGGCCCGAGGATGACGACGTTAGGAACGGGGCAGCCAAGGACGATCATGTGTACATGGATGCCATGGCTTTTGGCATGGGCAGTTGCTGTCTGCAAATCACTTTCCAAGCCAAGAATATGACTGAAGGGAGGAAACTGTACGACCAATTGAGTCCATTGGGCCCTATCTTGTTGGCCTTGACCGCTGCTACGCCGATTTACAAGGGCTTCCTTGTTGACACGGATGTACGCTGGAATCAGATTGGTGGGGCTGTTGATGACCGTACTCGTGAAGAGCTTGGCGAACTTGTACGACTGCCCTGTCCCGGATTGATGTCGTTCGCTAACATCTCATAGCCCTTGAAAAATGATAGATGGACGATCCCTAAATCTCGATATGCCTCAAACTCGACCTATATCTCACAAGACCCCCGGTTGCGAAAGGAATATTTGGACCCTGACTTGATCATTGATGAGGATATCAAGAAGCGTCTGATGGACGACGGAATGGATGATCTTCTAGCCACACATTTTGCACATCTCTTCATCCGTGATCCTTTGGTCATCTTCTCGGAAGATCTTGAAGAACTCGACTTGAACAAAGCAGATCACTTTGAGAATCTGCAGTCCACAAACTGGCAGCATATGCGGTTCAAACCCCCACCACCTGACAAGGATGACATTGGTTGGCGGGTCGAGTTCCGTTCCATGGAAATCCAGATGACCGACTTTGAGAACGCAGCGTTCAGCATTTTCATTGTACTTGTGACACGCGCGATCTTGACTTATGATCTAAACTTCTATATCCCGATTCAGCGCACGACAGAGAACATGGAGACCGCACATGCACGCAACGCGGTTCACGACCGGAAATTCTACTTCCGCAAGGACCCTTTCTCCCCTCGCCGCCCGAATCCTCATTCATCCAGTGGAAGCAACGTCTCTTCCACCACGTCGTCCGCTGCCAACTCACCGCCTCCATCGCCATCCCTTACCCCGGTGGAGTCCGAGTACGAACTCATGACTATATCAGATATCATTAATGGTTCTTCCGATGGCTCTTTTCCTGGATTGATCCCACTTGTCGAATCGTACCTTAACAGTGTCAATGTGGATGTTGAGACTCGCTGCTCATTGGCCAGCTACCTTGACTTGATACGCAAACGTGCGAATGGGACTCTCTGGACGGGCGCCAAGTGGATCCGCGAATTCGTTGCTTCGCACCCGGACTACAAGCAAGACAGTGTCGTCTCGGAGCGGATCTGTTATGACCTTGTTGTGGCCGTGGACGAGATGAGCGTGCATGAGGGGAGGAACGGTACCGTTGGGTGGGAGCTTCTCAAGGGTAAAAATACTTGAACAGAAGTTGTAAATACATTCACATATAGATGTAGATAGCTTGTCCATTTTCACTGTCACTTATTGTTGAGTACTACACATGCTGTCAGTCGTGTTGCATAATATTACAGGAGACTTGGTTTGCTCAATTGCTTTTTTCTTGTGCTTAACATCATTGTATAGGAGGTTTGTTGGATGGACCTGATTTCTCTGGAACAATGTGGTAAGGAGTTGGTTGCGAGCCTCTTGAGTCAAGCTCCCAGAAGAGCATGTCCCCCCCCCCTTCGGTCTTCTTTCTCAATCGGACGGGACCTTCACGTTCACGCCTCAAAACTTTCCCGCAATCCTCGAATGCCACCCATTCAAGGCAACCAGATTTTTTCCTCCTCTGTCGGTTCTCGACACGAATCAGCCACTCCAGTCACCTTCCATGTGTTGTTGACTTTGTGAAGTATGAAGAGCTCAACGCCAACATGATGCACAGCACCGTTAACCTTTGCCCGGAAAGGGGCCCAGACGGCGGCCAAGCTACCTGAAGGATATACTTTCACTTCAGGGTCCCAGATACGCTCATCGATCTCATCCTGGATCTTGATCACCTGTTCCACGAAGGTTCCAATGGTACAGAAACGAGGGAGGGTCGGTGAAGGGGGCCAGAGGGACATTCCTCCCGCTCGCACGCAGTATTTGTCGAACTCAGCGGAACTTTTCGTCCTCAGCGCACCCAGAAAGCCGTTGATGACGATTAAGATGGATTCAATTTCCTCAGAATGTTGAGAGAATGCTGATTTCACATTGAACGTGGTAGAGGGGTCCCAAAGCATAATTTCAGAGTTCATATCAGAAGAAACAAGCGCCGTCGAACATGCCAGTGCTTGCAGGATGCTAGCTCCATCTCCCTCATGGTTGTCAACTGAATATAACTTATATGAGGGGGCTTTACTCACTGTCACGGGTACCGGTGACGTACCTTGACTTGGTGTCGTTGTGCCAGGAACGTTACTCTTGGTCTGTCATAGGAAAGACAGCACATGCACTTTCCCGACTTTGTAGGCACTGAAGCCAGTCGGCATTGAGTTTTTGGCCTACCCCTATCGGCTGGTCAGACGGACGGCCTTATTCCGAATCAATGCCGACATTTTCAGTTTATCAAGAGCTACAGTCACAGCGAGTCTCCATCAAGCTGCAGGTTCGAGTGCAGATTGTTTCAGAGGCGCAACCCTTGGGGTTACTGTTGCAGCCATGAGAACGCGCTCGCTTCATTTCGAAATTTTCTACCCTGCACTGAATCAATCGAGGCCCATCTCCTGGACAATTCGAGTGCTGTGAAGCGCCCCGGAATTACGATCGTCTGGCACGTCTCACAGAGCTCTTGCCATGTCCGACCACTTCAAAGGGTCGAGCGCAGTAGCAGTCAAGGAATCGAGTGTCAGGTCGTTTGATGTGAGCACTGTAAGACACTAAAGCTCCAGCCATTGCTCGTCAGGGAAGCTGCATATGTTTCGGTGGCTATGACGTGCTACAGCGTGTGACTCTGGTCTTCTCGATATTTAAATGGTAAGAACTGGTTGACCGGCCGTGGAACGGCAGATCCACGGCCAAGAAATCCCGTCGGAGGAAGTCTCACGAGTGAGGAACAGATTGCCTTGCCTGGATTGGCCCTGGTACGTCTTGGCTACTATATGGCTTGAAGGATTTTCTTGACTTCGGAGTAGGAGCTGCTTGTGCAATATGATTGCTGAGGGGTCCTCGCGAATCCTCGGAGCATAGCCGGCAGACGGCTGTTAGACCCTAAACATGCAAAGACCTGCAGACAGACCGACATGGCGGTCAGAAGCCCACATTTCTTCCTATCTCACTATCTGATATTCTAAACATTGTCTATATCTCCCGTTTTGTGCCAGGTCTGCGTTGCTTTGCTCCTCTTGTCTCTTCGATTTACTTGTTCTCCGTGGACACCAACTTTAGGCGGGCGTTGTCATCGAATGATACTCCCGCGCGGAACCCGGCTATAATGTTATGCCCGGATAGCCTTGATAGCATCACGCTATTATCCCGTTTGCGGGGACATGAACGGCATGTATCTTCCCCGCCAAGTTTTCAGCCCCGGGAATACCTCGGGTTAAGCGAAACTCGAGCAGAATGCGGGCACCTGTACGAATCAAGGTATCGAGACGAGGGGTTTTCGCCGACCTCTACATGACTAGCTCTCACCATTCTATCCCCATGACCCCATTGCTCCGCATTTTGGCCGGCGGCGCAACCTGATTTGGAAGCACTCCTTGTTGACGGTGGGATCTGGAGTACTTCCCCACACTCCGCGACTGCTATTAACTCGGGGTTGATGATGCAACGTTTGGACCTGATGCCGGGTTTTGCGCCAGACCCCTTATGCCGTGAAGATCCAGGTATAAATGCTGCAGAGCAGCGTCGTCGGAGCATGCTGTAGCAGCTTCAGAATCTTTTTGGAATTCATAGCTCTCTGCAAGATGCGCAGGGCATTCGTTTTTTTGCTTGGTCTCTCTGCCAGTGGTATTGTCGCTTCGGCTGATACATCTCAGCCTACAGCTCATGTACGCAATGGTACATATCTCGGAGTGAGAAACACCAATTATGAGCAGGACTTCTTCCTTGGTATACCTTATGCGCAACAGCCGGTTGGCGACTTGCGATTCAGGGTTCCAAAGTCCCTCAATGAAAGCTGGGATGGTGAGCGTGGGGCGAAGGCATACTCAGACATCTGTGTGGGATATGGGGTATGCCACTATACTACTGCCTTCACCGACATCTTATGACATAAGCTGACTTTAGTACGTTAGACAGATTCTATATGGTACCATCAGTCCGAAGCATGTCTCACCCTCAATGTTATCCGCGATTCCTCTTTCAACGAAAGCTCAAACCTCCCAGTAGGAGTCTGGATCCATGGAGGTGGCTTCACAGAGGGATCAAGTGCGGATCAGCGCTATAATATGTCTGCAATTGTTGCCAATGCTCAAAAGATTGGTAGGTCCCCCTTGAGCAGTCGTTATGGCTATTATTGACATGTCTTTGCACGCGCAGGCAAACCATTCCTCGCAGTGTCGCTTAACTACCGTCTCACGACCTGGGGTTTCATAAGCTCTAGTGAGGTCAGCGGCACAGGTAACACCAACCTCGGCCTTAGGGATCAGAGACTGGCACTTCACTGGATTAAGGAGAACATTGCTGCGTTCGGTGGTGATCCGAAAAAGATCACCATCTGGGGCGAGTCTGCGGGAGCAATGTCTGTTGGGTATCACCTTGCAGCCTACGGGGGTAGGGACGACAACCTCTTCCGTGCAGCAATCATGGAGTCCGGGGGAACCATTGCCGCCGGTCCATCCAACTACACCGGCTATCAGGCCCTCTATGACGACCTCGTGGCCAAGGTCAACTGCTCCGACGTTGTGGACTCATTGCAATGCCTGCGCGAGGTTCCATTTGAGAAGTTGAATAGCGTCCTCAATGGAACCGATGGGCAATCGAACTACCCTTTCTCTCCTGTCATCGATGGTGATTTGATTCCGACCTGGGGCAGCCTCCAGCTTGACCGCCATGAATTCGTTCAGGTCCCTATCATTGCCGGCACCAATACTGACGAAGGGACTGCGTTCGGGCCCACCGGGATAAATACGACGCAGGAATTCTATGCATATCTTACCAGTACGTATGCCCTGCTCTGTGTCTCTTGGTCTACCAGTATTACAATTTACTAAGTTGCCACAGATGGTCAGGCTGGATTCCAGCTCCCTCCCTCTATCGCCAAGCATATCCTGCAGGTCTACCCCGATGATCCGTCCTTGGGTATCCCGGAGTTCCTTGGCTCCAGACGAGTCACATCCAAGGGTTACCAGTGGCGACGCACATCCGCGTATGCAGGGGACGCGAAGATGCACGCGAATCGACGACGACAATGCGAGGCGTGGACGGCGACCAACACCACGGCCTACTGCTACCGCTTCAATGTGCGGTCCGCGGACGTCGCACCCTTGTCGGGAGCCACCCACTTCGAGGAAGTGGCCTTTGTCTTCAACAACCTCGCGGGCCTTGGGTACCACTACGGGCTCCCGTTCGCGGGGATGCCCGAGTCCTACATGCAACTGAGCCAGCTGATGACCAGCATGTGGGCATCTTTCATCCACGACCTGGACCCCAATTCGGGCATCAAGAACGAGTCGGCGGTCCGGTGGCAGGCATACGAGCAGGGTCGGCCGGTCGATCTGGTCTTCAATGCCAATACCACCAGCTATATGGAGCCAGACACGTGGCGAAAAGAGGGGATTGACTATATCAACTCCGTGGCAAGAGCGTACTGGCGATAGAACTGGTTTATTTCTCCCCGTTCATTAGGGTTCTGCTGCAAAGTCGGATCTACATGTACATGTGAAAGCGAAAGATGTTACTCTTGTGGTTTGATTTGGCCGCAGATGCAGCTTACGATAATGATATTGGATCTGGAGGTCAGAGAGCAAACAAACAAAGAATGACCCAAGATGTGCGTGGTTCGAGTTGGGGTGCTCATGTGTTTCTACGTAAAAGAGGAGGAGCCAGTCAACGGTCCTCGGCGACTTATGCACCCGGCCATGCCTGTAGATCTGAACACCTCTAGAACAGAGTTACTCCGCTTTGAGTGAAGCCCCGAGCGTAAGCATTACCAAGCAAGATTACCTTCTCATCTCATCCTTGGAAAGAAAGTCCTCCAGCCTTCGTTTCTTCGAACCAAATCGAAAACCAAGGGTAGTTAGTATCTCGGCCCATCATTCTAAACCATCCCACTATTCCCACGAAACCAAACCACGTACGTATGGAAGCCATACCCGAGCCAGAGACCAGACCCCAGTCAGAGACAAACAAGAGCCACCAATACACTTCCATACTAAGCACATACCATCACAAAGTTTCCACCGGCTCCAATTTCATCTAGTCCTGATCTGGGGGGAGGGGGGGCCAAGAACTTCTCACGTCCAGTTTTCGATTTTCTTCATCTATACGAACCCAAGGAACCGCTATACCTGTTTAACCATTGTAAGTGCAAAAGGGAACGAACGATAGAAGGAAAGCCTTTTTTTTTACGGGAAGTTGCAATCCTGGAAGATCGGATAGCGGATCCCAATCCCATTGTTAATTAGGTTTATCACCGGCGACTTGGTGGTCTGACTGTGGGAGTCGAGAAATACAGTATAACGAGCCAAGTTCTGCCCAGACTGGTATGTCTTTAGTGTATACTCGGTTCTTCCTGTTGTTCTTCGCCACTGGTATGGATCTACCGCCTATCCAGGGATGATCTGGGGTTCTTTACAAATTATCTCTGACATGATGAAATAAAACCTGAGGGTGTTGATCGAGACTTCACTGACCATCTGTACTACTGGAATCAGACCGAAAAGATCCCATAAGTTATTGAAAACAAAAGATGGTGTGAGAATTCCGGTAAAGGAAACATCCGATGTCATTGCGATCCCCTTGCCCTTTGCCCAAAAAGTGCACGAGATGAAAGAGAGAGCAGGTGGTTGAAGATGGTCTTAGCCTAAATGGACCAGCACAGATGTTTAGATTCTGGACGTTGAGATGAGATTTGGGAAGGTGGAGGGTGGGAGGGGAAAGTGGATGAGGGGGCGAGGGGGTAGAGAGGCCAGTGCAATGTTTTCCCGGAAGGTGGCTGTCAAAACTGTCATATCATTTTCCCTTTCTGGGAAGCGGACACAGACAGCCCCCTTCCAAAATTTGGTTTATAATTTGCTTCTTGTCAACAATCCCCACCGGTGCGATGCTGGATATTCGCCTCTTTTGATTGTACTGTACT